GGTGTTAGCGTATATCACGGGATCGTATGTGGAATTCAATTTTGTATATTTGGTAGTTAATAGTTTTCTATCTTTAGAAGATTGTGATCTTCGTAGGGCAAACTGTTGTGATTGCTTCCTTTGTGTATATAAGGCACCAGCCTAAGAGTAAATAAGATCATCGAAAATTTCCAAGCTGCTTCTCTTTGTTCAGTTCTTCTATGTCAAGAATCTCGTTAAAGTCACCAAGATTATTCCACGGTTTATGTACAGTTTTATAACAGACTAGGTTGATTTCTCTTCGATGTGCAATTTGTTTAATTTATTTAATGTACTTCAATTATCTTTTTTCACAATATCTTTGTCATTCGATCCAATAGCGTTCTGTTAGATAGGAACAATCAAAATTAATTTATTTTGAATTTTGAACATTTATTGGTTTTGATTTTCCAACAAAAAATAATTAACCGATTTACTTGTAATTTAAAAAACCAACTAGTTGACTCCCCGTGTTATACGACAAATATTATCAAATATATAGAAAAAATAAATTTATTTTGGTATTGAGAATTAGTTATAAAAGATTTTGTAAGAGATTTATTTTGGTATGTATGTATTTGGGAGATCACAACTTGGAGAGCAATCTTATGATACACATATGATAATATCGAAACATTTATATGCTAAAATATGCATGTTGCAAAATTTTCCATAATTAAATTTCGTATTTAATTCTTTATTTTCAAAAAAATTATTAAATATTGTTTGGGTTGATATTAAAAGGTAGTTTTATTTTTTTTGTTTAAAAACTAAATAAAATACAAAAAAAAATTAATCAATTTTTAATTGAATTTAAAAATTACCTTTTGCATAATAAAACGTAATGATATGTAATTGCATTTTTTTGTCAAGATATGTAATTGTTATTTCACATACGAATGATCTTGAATATCTTGGTCATTTTTTTAACTTTCTTGTGTTAAAAAAATATATTCATAAATTTTTGTAATCATAATCTTACATACGAATGATTTTGAATATTTTGATTATTTTTAATTGTCTTGTATTAAAAAGTGTATTCATTGACAAAAAAAGTGTATTCATTAATTTGTTTTTAGAAATTTCAAAAATGCCACTTTTCAAGTGCCACTTTACAAAAATGCCACACTTTTGAAATCTTTACAAAAATGCCACTTTTTCAAAATTATTTTTTTCTTTATATTATTGAGAAATTTCAAAAATGCTATTTTTCAAGTGCCACTTTACAAAAATGCCACACTTTTGAAATCTTTACAAAAATGCCACTTTTTCAAAATTATTTTTTCTTTGTATTATTTATGTTTGGGTTAATTATGTTCTATTATAGTTTAGTTTTGAGTATTTAGGAGGTTTTAGGTGTCAAAACATTTTTTAGGATTTAGAATTTTAAATATAAGCTTTATAAATCGATAATTAGTGATATTTTTGTAAATGGACACCCCTAAGTGGCATTCTTGCAAATGTGCACACAAAAAGTGACATTTTTGTAGTTGCCCCTATATTATTTGTGTTTGGGTTAATTATGTTCTATTAGGGTTTAATTTTGAGTGTTTAGGGGGTTTTATGTGTCAAAACATTTTTTAGGGTTTAGAATTTTAAGATATAGGCTTTATAAATCTATAATTAGT